TAAATAAATAAATAAATAAAAAAAAAAAAAAAAAAAAGAAAGAAACCCAACTTATTACTCACGTAATGAATCATTCTGACTTATGACTTCTGTCCTAGACGTGCCACTAGGTGATGTCATGACTTGCTGTAGTGCCCATGGGTGGTAGGAGAGAACAACCATTGTGTGTGAGCGCGTGTGCACACACACGTTCGTGTGCTGAGACATGTGGTTGTCTGGCAACAGTCACATGTCAAATAGCAGTTTGCAACTCAGAACCACAGAGAAGGTTTGTTTTCCTCTTCTGTCTGTTCCAGTTATTTAACTGAGGGCAGATGTCCTCATTAAGGGCTATTAGCACATCAGAGTATGTTTGCTGAGCCTGGAAAGGGGGCTAACCCCTTTTGGACATTGACCAAAATACATATTCTAGTATAGCCAACCCCTCCTATTGGTGACAACGGAAGGGGCGAGAAACACAAGAGGGCCCAGGATCCCCTTAAAACTGTAGATCAGCAGGAAGTCCTTTTTAGCACCAGTTTGTTTCAATCAGGGAATTCCATAAGTGAGGAATGTAACATTATAAAGTGGGATTTGGCTACATGTCAAAACATTGTTATTGTTACCCCAAAAAGGATGTTTCTTAATTTCTCTTTGCTGTACCAGAACCATATGGCAAATTAGGGGATGACTGGTTTATATGGAACTTCGATCGCTCCCAAGAAAGAAACTAGTGGAGAGATCAGGGAAGAGAGGCTCTGGTTAGATGGATAGAAGCTTGCTAGGAGGGAGGGCGGGACTCTTAATCCCAGGTGTAAAGTAGCAGGGGAGCCTGAAAAGTCACTCTGAGGTCCAGAGTTAACCTGGATCCTCCACCCCCCAGCACGGCTGACTTCCTTCCATAGGTGCTCTAATCCACTTCTGAGGCCCTGAAGGACACTTGTTATCTGTAGAGCCACGTCCATAATATGATGAGTGTGCTGATAAATGCCGGCGAGGCAGTGAATCCCACTTGGTGATGCTGCCCAGCCGACATTTAGTCTAGATTTGGCTTTTTCCCTTCCATTCTGTCAGTCACTAGTGTAAACCTGGCTCAAATCTTTTAACTTTTGAGGCTGATTGCATTATCTCTCTGCTCCCTCTCAGAGGGCAATATGTGTATAAAGGTCTTCCCAAACCACTAAATGATTAACAGTGACTTGGACTGTTTAACAAGGTCAGACGAAAGCATTGACCTCTATTTTGTAGGCAAGAGGCTAGGATGCCAGTGGAGGAGAGATTTTCAAGGAAAGACATTGTACAAGGAAACCGAAATAGAGACGTTCAGGGTCAGAGCTGGGGTTTTTTTCTATCAAGGTTCACTGACAAAGGAAAAAACCCCAAAACACCATGTAGATAAAAAGCAACTTAATGGAGTGTTTTATTTTGAGAGATCCCATACCTCCTGGAATAATGGCAGGATTATGACCTTTGACCAGCCCCCGGGGCTATTGGTTCCTAGTTGTGTAGCCTCAGCAACCTAAACTCTCCATGGCTCAGTTTCCTCATCAGAAATAAAAGACCATATGTTTATCTCAGTGTGTTCTGAAGATTAAATTAGATACAGTTTGTGAAAGCTAGTGCCAAGTAGGCACTCAACAAAGGCAGTTTCCCTTCCTTCTTTCTCTTCTGCTTTTAAAAATTAAGTTTTTTTGCGTACTATAAATGAATAAAATAAAGCACATTTCAGTGTGGAATTTGGAGAGAGGCCAGAAAAGAGAGCAAACATACGCAGGAACAAACCCCAAGTGGGCAGGTTCACCAACTCTGCAAATCCAGCAGGCTTTGGAAGGTGTGGGTTCACAAACCGAAGAAAAAGTATTTTTTAAATCAAAAAGAAAAGAAAAAGCTTATAAAAACATTGTCAGAGTCTGTTAGCCGAATATTTCAGGCTCCATCTGGAGACTGGAAGCCCAGGAATTTTGGAAATACTACTTTTTCTTAATTTTCAGAGGTAGAAACCTCAAACTTCCTGCTGTGGAAAGTGGGGGGTGGCCACTGGTTTTTTTGGTCAGGAAAAGGGTTGTTTCTTTTCTCTGGATAAATGCTGCCATCTGATGTCTCTAAGTGGCACTGCGGCCTCACCTCCGGCTCTTGGTTGCTCAGTGGAATTAAACGGAGAGTCAGAGGTTCTTGTTCCTGGCTTGAAGCTTCAGGGATGACAGCAGGCGAATGGATTGTAAAAACCGAGTTAGTTGGATACACATTTTTTTTTTTTTTTGTAGTGGTCAAGAATTTACTTCTTACATTTGTCTTCCTATTTATTGTTAGAGTAAAGCTTTCCAAAATAGTGCTGTTACCGGATGTGAAGTCACCAGACACCTGAACGGCAGCTCTGTCGGGTGCTGTGACTCCCACCTTTTTCTTACCTTTTCTTTGCTTCCTAGGGAGTTCATGGTGGAGATACCATGTTCTCTGCTTCCAACCCTCGAAGCTCTGAGTAAAAGACTTGTAAAAACCCTTTTCTGTCACACTCTGCAGGTTGTGAAGAGCTTCTACAGCAGGGGTGGAGAACCGTTTTTCTGCGAAAGGCCATTTGGATATTTATAACAGCATTCGCAGGCTGAACAAAACTATCAGCTTAAAAATTAGCTATGAAAACAGCTCCTAGATTTATTGAATTTCGAGTCCCGCCTGCTGTTGCCTTGGCAGGGCCAGACCAAATGATTTCAGCCCTCGGGCTGGACGTTCCCCACCCCTGTCCTACAGGAATGTTCTCGTGGGCTCTCCCAAGGAAGGTGTTGGCGCCGGGGAGCATCAGTGTTGTGGTTTATTTATTTTTAAAATCTTTTATAAGAATTTATTTACGCTACAGTGATGACAATTTCTGGGGAGCAACATGTAAAATGTTCCCAGCTTTGTGATTCACAGAAGTGGAAAGAGGTGGAGTGGGGACTGACCCAGCGGCCTGAGGGCAGATCTGTGTTTCGCTTGACTCTCAGGAGGGAGGCTGTGGTTCAGGAGGGATTTCTCAAGAATAAGCTTGTTGACTGATTCAGATCACCGAGGGACCTGGAAGATTAGGGTTTTTGTTTTCTGGAATGGCATAGGAGCCTGAAGGTCACAGAGTGGCCCAGGGGACCCCTGCTGGCCCCACCCAGCCCTGGTGCTCAGTGGGTGCCATTGCTGTTGGAACCCCTCCTCTCTGGCAGGAGCACTTTGACTAGTGAAGCGTTAAACCAGGGTTTCTAGTTTTGATCTCCACCCTGGCTCTTCCCCTCCATACAACGTGGAAGGAGGTGTTACCCCTTCCCTGCTTTCTGGCGTGTGGGTGATGGTACAGTGACAACCTCAGAGCGTGCAGAAATGACACGCGCCGTTTTTGGAACAGCTGCTGGTCACCGTGGCATGAAGACCTTGGATGGTCGTCCTTGTTCGTGTCGGGGCCGGGGTCCTCGTTTCCATCACCCTGAATGTGTTAGCAGCCGACGGCGCTTGCGGTTGGAGGCAGCTTGTGGGCAACACCCAGGCAGGGAGGGTTCCTGGGCTGGAGTCGGGACACCTGATCTTGTTCAGGCTCCGGCACCAACTTGATCCCAGTGAACAAGTCAGTTAAGCTCTACGTGTTCACTTTCTCAGGTGTAAAAGGAGGCGGGGAGAGTTAGCGTGGCTCGTTTCTGTGGCTTTTGGTAGCTTTGAAGCCAGCTAATCTTGGGCATCTGCGCGTACCTGACAAACGTCCTCACGCTTTGACTTAGTGGTAGTCACGTGCTGCGTAACAGCACTTAGGTCCTGACGGCCGCACGGATGACGGTGGCCCCGTAAGATTTTAATGGAGCTGAGCAGTCCCCGTCACCTAGAGGCGGGGCAGCTGTCGTCGCGTCGCAGTGCAGTGTGTTATTTGTGCGTGTGACGCTGGTGCGAACAAGCCCACTGCTCTTTCAGCCGTGTAAAAGTGTAGCAGTACGTAACACTTGACAGTGATAATAAGTGATTGTTCCTGATTTATGTGTTTACTATACTCTTTACTCGTAAACAAAGTTGGCTGTAAAACCGCGTTGTGCTGGCAGAGCCTCGTGTTTACCACATCCCCGGACGGCATCGTCTTCTCGCGTGCTGTTTTCTACAATACACGTGCTGTTCGGGCCTTTAGCCTGGGAGCACAGGCCATCCCATGGAGCCGGGGTGTGCGGTAGGCCATCCCATCTGGGTTGGTGCAAGTGCACTCCGATGTTTTCACAATGACAGACTCACCTTACAGTGCATTTCTCAGGACGAATCTCATCGTTGAGTGGTGCACAACTGGACTGTATCGTATATCAGAACTTGACCTGGTGTGTGTGCTGAGGCTGAGCTCAGATGACACTACCTGTGGGCAGAGCAGTGCAAACAGCGGCATGGTACTGGTCACAGCCCCGGGTATAATAACAAAGGATTGGTTAAATTAGTAATGATGCATCGGCCTGAGAAAATACCGCGTGGCTTCTCCAAGGGTTTTTGTAGAATAACATTTACTGATACAGTAAAATCTACACAAGATGCTAAGTGAACATTCACTTTATCAAACCACGATCCCATTTTTTGTAGAAATTAAAGCATGGAATGCTATTTGGGAAAAGCGGGTACCTCTGGGAGGCTGCTTGAGTGATTTGTGTTTTTGTGTGCTTATCGGAATTTTCTGAATGTCCTATGAGGAATGGGTGTTACTTTTATAAAAAGATAAATATTGTAAAAGTTACTATAAAGTGTTTCATCCATTTTAAATAGACACTGACACTTCTTGCTGCATGTAGGATACTTTACTAAAAGCTTCCTGATTCTTCCAGATAAAGGCTGAAGGATTCTGTGTCCCCCTTTGCCTCCCCAGGAAAGATAGCAGCATGGCTAGTGTGCTGTCCCGGCGCCTTGGGAAACGGTCCCTTCTGGGAGCCCGGGTGTTGGGGCCTCCCGGGACTGCCCCACCTTCAGAGCCTCAGGCGGAGCTGCTGGAGGGGATGGCTCCCCAGCCCTTCTTCACCCCTAAGGACACTTCCTGTCAAGAGCAGCCCAAGGAAGTCCTCAAGGCTCCCAGCACCTCAGGCCTCCAGCAGGTGGCCTTTCAGCCGGGGCAGAAGGTAAGTTGATCCCTGAGTGGACAGGTGCCTGATCTTCCCAGGCTTGGGGCCAGCAGGCTTGTGGTGCCCCGAGTGATAGGCTGGAAACTCCCCGGGCATCAGTTTGTATGTGTACAGACCTTTAACTTGAACCCTGTGAGCCCTTGGTGAGCAAGCTTCCTGAGAGAATGAATTGCCAGCCGCAGACCCAGGGCTCCTTGATGACAGTGCTGTCTTGGAGAAAAGACTGGTGAGACCTGACATCTGACATACTGGGCATGGGCCTACTCAAAACCTCAGTTTCAAACATGGCCAGAGCTCAGTTTTGCTTAACCTGTCTCAGTTTGCAACTTTACGAAACAAAGGAAAGAACTTCAGGCTTATGAGAGACAGGGTAAGGTGGTTTTTTAATTACCTTTAGAATTTTTCAAGAGAGGAAGATGTTTGTTTAGTCAGAATACCATTTGGATTTTCTTTTCCAGTGTTTTCTTCCCTTGTGTGAGGGCCCACCTATGACCTGTACCTGATGTTATCACTAGATCCAGATGCATGGGCTTCTCTTTCATTGCCTTCTCCAGGGCCCATAAAGTAGACTTCCTTCTGCTTCCCTGCTGAGGCTTCTGTTTCCCACACCTTGCTTCCCCAGCTGCTAGGCAGCCCTTGACAGAGGTCAGCCTACCTCTCCATCTCTACCATCTTGCCCCTAGGTAGACTCAGAAGTCCCTGAAGGGTAAAATGCAGGGTGAATAATTCAAGGGCAGTAGTTGTGAACTGCAGATAGATAGGACTTCAAAGGCAAGGCAGAGCAGGGAATCAGGAGGGTGGACACAGATTCCAAATTCATTTGATTGGAGAATTTGCCTGTTTACATTTAAGTAATTATTGATAGGTAAGGACTTACTATTGCTATTTTGTTAATTATTTTCTATTTTGTAGATCTTTTGCTCCTTCCTCTCTTGCTGTCTTCCTTTGTGGTTTGTTGATTTTTTTTAGTAGTCATGCTTTGATTCCTTTCTCTTTATCTTTTGTGTATCAACTAGAGGGTTTTTTGTGTGTGGTTCCCACAAGGATTACAGAAAATAGTTTATTTTAAGATGATAACAACTTAGCTTCAATTGCATACAGATTCCAAGTTCAGAAGAAAAAAAAAAATCTCAGAAACTGACATGTTCACTTTCTCCATCTAATTATAAGGATTGGTTTTGGGAAGAACCAATCCACTGGGTGCTCAGGGGGAAAGCAGGTACCTGCGAGCATCTTGCATGAATTAAAGATGAGTCAGAGAATTCAGTTTGTGTTAAATGGATCCTGGCTCCTAGAATTTGGGGTATGTGTGGTAAGAACTACCAAGTGCTGACCACTGGTTGCTTTTTTTCTGCCCCCCTCCAGGTTTATGTGTGGTATGGGGGTCAAGAGTGCACAGGACTGGTGGAGCAGCATAGTTGGGCAGAGGACAAGGTGACTGTCTGGCTGTTGGATCAGAAGTTACAAATCTGCTGCAAAGCGGAGGAGGTGTGGCTGGCCGAGCTGCAGGGCCCCATTCCCCAGGTGCCACTTCCAGAGCAGGGAACCCAGGCACAAGCCTACAGGCCTGTCTCCAGGAACATTGATGTCCCAAAAAGGTTTGTGTGGGAGAATCTGGGCTCTGAAAATCATGTGGGTGGTGAGGTGTGGGGTTGTGGCGTGTTTCGTGATGGGGGAGGAATGTGGAAGTCCTGGGTGTCTGCCTGTCAAGATATTAGACAAGTGGGACACAAAGAGAGGAGAGGGCATCCTTGAGAAAAACCCAGAATGGTATCTTTTCTGTTATATTTTGGTTTGGCTAAGGGCTGTTTTTCCTCTCTTCATGCTTAAACTAAAATTAGTTCTTAGTTTTTTATGATAAGAGACAGAAAAAATGGCTTAGATCAGGAAACAGTAAACTTGTTCTGAATGGGCCAGATGGTAAGTAACGTAGGCTTCGTGGGCCAAGCAGCCCCTCTCCCAGGGACTCAGCTCTGCTGCGCAGTGTGAGAGCAGCCACGGACAGTAAGGAAACAAACGGACAAGGCTGCGCTCCAATAAGACTTTACTTACGGACACTCAGATTTCAATTTTGTATAATTTTCATGTGTCCTATGTCAAGAAATAATAATTCTTTGGATTTTTAAAACCACTTAAAAATTATAAAACCATTCTTTGCTTGGGAGCCATAGAAAGCAGGCTGCAGGCCACGTTTGGTCCACAGCCCCCAGCTTGCCGACCCTGGCTTACCTATTTGAAACCATTAGGGGTTGATGGAAATTATAAATGTAACCCAGAATGAGTATTTTTCGTGAATGAAGAGAGACCTTCACGCTCGACTTAATGTACACACTGGCTGATGGGAGTGGGGATGCGGAGGGGGTGGTCCAGAGTGTGACATGACCGTGTGGCCAGCAGTCTCAGGAAGTAACCTTTGTCACTCACCCTCTTGAATCCAGAAAGTCCGACGCGGTGGAAATGGACGAGATGATGGCGGCCATGGTGCTGACGTCCCTGTCCTGCAGCCCGGTCGTGCAGAGTCCTCCTGGGGCCGAAGCCAGCTTCTCTGGTGAGGAAGGGGTTCCGTGTGGGTTCTGGGTGCGGCAGAGGCTCATCACTGATGTCCTCTGCTTTGAGCAGCTAATTGCCGACGCACTGGCCTGGCGGCAGGATTTGGAGTGCCTCCTGGCTCGCATCCCAGACTGGCTGAGCGGCGTTGAGTTAGATGCTTCCATTCTTTTTTCTCAGTTTCCTCCTCTGGGAAGCAGTTTCCTGGTGCATTGTGAAGATGATTGAGCACGGGGCTGAGCCACACTGGCCACTTGAGTAAGTTCTTCTATGGGAGTAAGTGAGTGAGGCACTTTGGTGGGGCCTGAAGCGGGCCAGTAGAGGAATATTTGGTTCACAGAGGTAGAAACGGACTGAATGGTCCCCTAGTGGCCGCAGAAGATTCATGCCCCTGTTCCAAGTGCCTAATTCAGCCTTGCAAATTAGTGTGCGCCTACAGGCCAAGTACCTGGAATAAACAAGCTGAAATCTAAAATAAATTCAATTGCTTAATACAACCTGATAGTATAACTTCACAGCAAATTGACAAATTAAAGGGAAATTCTTCTAGCGCAACCCCCAAAATACATGATCAGTAATATGGGAGGAAGAAGGGTTGCTGGATATGAGTAGTTTGACAAGACTGGTGGTGAAATTGAAGTGTTTCTTTTTGAAATTTGCTGTAGGGCTGGCCTGACTTACTCCCAGGGAATAACTTTTTTGTTGATGAGATCTAACTGAATTGCAGGTTACTTAAAGCTTAAAGGAAAATATGGAGTCAGAAGGAAAGTGGCCTTTACATGTATCCCTTATAAGTAATCTTTCTAGATGGAAAGTAAACTTAAAGGAGTGATGATGCACATTTACTTACGTCACCCAAAGCCCGTCATCAATGACGAGTCTGCTAGTCACGTGTCTGATTGCACGTTGCGGGGAAGCCTGGCATTGCGCACATGCTCTGTCATCACTTGGGAGCTACACAAGCAAAATGGGGAAGTAAGGAGTCAATTTTAAGCCCTCAGGAAATTCTACAAATGTAGGAGATCCAGGAGGTTGGTCAATAGGAGGGAGATCCAGAAAGGGAAAGGAAATCATTGACTTCAATTCCCATCAGGTTTTGTGTGTATATGTGTGTGTAGATACATATGTACATGTTTACACACACACCAATGCCAACACATACACATCTAACTGGTAATATACCATGATCCTGATAACTGAAGTCCCTTTTGGACAAAAAATTTTAATAGCTTATTAAAGATTTTTTCCTATGATATTTCTGATTATGGTTGAAATCAGTGGAAAAATAAGGCTTCCTTGGCAGCTAATGATGTTGAAGTGTTTTGCCAGGTCAGGTGTATGTAATAACCAAGACCTTGCTCTAGTTATGGATACTATTTGTACCACCGTTCCCTTTGATGTCTGCATTGTTAGAATGGTTCTGCACGTGCTTGTGTGTGTGGAGACCAGAGGGGATTATAAATATTTCTTAGGAGGTTCACTGTATGCTCTCTCATTGCTCCGTATTTGCTGAGGAGCACTCTGTTTTCATGGTATAGAATATCTAGTACCTGCCCTAGAACGTCGTATGATCTAAGGTAGAGTAATTTATGTTTGTCTTATAATTTATAGATTAACTTATGGAATTAACTTTTTGCTCTTAAAAATTTCTTCCTCCGTGTGCCTACCTGCCAGTTCCAGCGTTTGAGCCATTTGAATGGAAGGTTGCTGTGTTGTGGGGTTTCCCTGAGTTTGACCTCCCTCCTCTCCGGAGTCCTGATCGTGTTAGATGTAACATTCAGCTTCCTTACCCTTCTCTCCCTGAGTGGGTGTGTGTGAGCTCTTGACCTGCTGGGCTGCTGGGGCTCCTGAGCTGTTCCCTGAAGGGCTACCCTATTTTGTAAGCCTCATGCGTAGACGTCGTCGTAAGCTCCTGGTTTCCAGGAAGTCATAGCTTTGAGACTTGACAGCGATCCTTAGGGAGGGAAGAGTTCATCTGCCCCGTGCTGTGTGGGTGGGCTTCTCCCAGCAGGTGAGGTTTCATTAAGGAGAGCCCCCAGTGGCAGCGTGGAGCTCTGGGAGTCTGCCGCAGGTGTCGGCAGTAACTGAGAAGCAGTTTGGAACATGCAGCAGGGTGAGGGAAAAGCAGTGGGATTTGTATCCTGGCCACAAAGGGTGTGCTAGTCGATCTCAGATCTCAGAACCCAGGTGACTAAGGAGGCTCCATGGAACCCCCACCCATGCTGAGAGTTGGGGTGCTTGGGGACATGGCCACCACACCTGCACGTGACACCCGCCCCCCCTTCTCTTGCTATTTCCGTGTGTAAGAATTTCCGATTCTCCTGTACTGTCAAGGAATCGGGATTTATGGCCTAGGCATGGAAGAGTCTGGCTGGGTGGCCCTAAGGCAGCTCAGAGACAGGCGATTTAAGAACTGAACATTTCACGTCTCGCTGTGATCTTCCTCCTGTTCAGGCCCTGCTGGGAGCAGGCGGCATCCAGGGCCGTGTTGGGCGCCTGTGCCCCAGGCGTCTGGTAGCAGCCTGAGTTGCTCTCAGAGCTTATCTTTCCTTCTCTAAGTGGGTTACTGGTGGGTAAAAGCAGAGCCCCCTGGGCGGCCGCTGCCTCTGGTCAACGTTACCTGCCCCAGTAGCCGGCTGCATGGCTTCTTCTTACAGGCATGTTTTCACGGACTTGCTCGGGTTTTTTAAATGACCAGTAGGCGTTTTTCAAGAACGCCTGGTCAGCAAGCTCTTCCTCGGCCTTTCCGCCCTACTCCGCTGAGGAAGACGCCCTCGCGTTCCCGGGCGCTCGCGTCCGTCCACCTTCTCGCCCACCCTTTTAGGATGAGAGGCAGAGCGGCGAGCCCTCCCCCTCCCCCTTCCCAGTCTCCCCTGCTTTGTTTTAAAAACCTATAAAGTGAGAAACACGTTTTAATTAGGTCCTCTTTCTGTTAATAACGTACGGAACGAATTAGTGAGTGTCGGTCAGTGATGACCAGCGTGGCCGTGGCCGGCGAGGTCCCGCTGGGCTCCCCGGAGGCGTCGCTGCGAGGAGCCGACCGCTCCTCGTTTTTGTCAACGCCCAGAGAGGGGAGGTTTGGGGTTTTCGCGCTGACGTGGCGCAGCCAGGCGCCGCCGGGGCCGGGAGTGGGCTCCGAACGGGACCGC